TCTTAAGCCTTGCCTCAATCGTTCGGTAATAAAGGTCATTTCTGATCCTTGATCGAGAAGCGCTCGAACGACGCGAGTACGACCGTTCGGAGATTCGGAGGGGAACCCGACTCTTACCCTTGCCGTCGCGAGCAACACGGGAGGCATCGACGACACTTTCGCGCTCGAGAATAATGTCGTGATGGGCGCGGCATCGTGGATCGATGCGGTCGCGACAGAAGTATTTTCCGCGGCAGGCGTATCTTTCGCGGTAAAGGTATCTTTCGTGGAAGAAGTGTCCGAGTCGACGTGCAACATCGAATGATGTCTTTTGCGACATGTTCGGCACGAATATTTGCTTTGACATAGCTGTACGGCGTGTTTGTCGCTTAGGCAATTTACACAGCGATTCGCCTTTTTTACTGCTTCCAATTGTTGACTCGGATTCTTTTTCAGAAAGACTTGACATTTGTGTAGGAAGTGAGATGCTTTACAAAGCGGACACGAAATTGAAGAAGCTCCCGATGCTGTAGCGCTGGTCGCCCTCTGCGCGCGAGCTTGTTTGTCTACATTCGCGGGATGCAATTCTTCGAGCGCGCGAGCACGAGAATCGAGGAATCGGTCGAGTTCGCTGAATGTTGGGATTCGCGCGTCATCCCCACCCTTTAGTTTCCACGCTTTCCGAGTGACGGGATCAAGCCGTTGCGTGACGCTATACATAAGCATGTCGCTGAGAATGTCGGATTCGGAACGATCTAAATTCTTCAGCGACGTGATTGCGCGATTTGCTTTATCCCGAAGCTCGCTGAGTTCGCTCGCTGATTCGCGGGAAACGCTCGGCAGATTATATAACGCGGACACATGCATCTCGACTAATCGACGTTTATTTTCGTACCTCGACTCGAGGGCCTTCCACGCAAGTTCAAAGTTATCCGCGGTTACTGGGATGCTTCGAATAGATTCAAGCGCCCGCCCAGCGAGGCTTGATGAGAGAAAATCCATTCGCGCAAATGCAGAAAGTTCGGGATTTTTAATAATGAGGGACGTAAAGCGATCGCGGAACGTCTCCCATTCTTCATATTTTCCTGAGAACGGCGGAATGTTGATGGGCGGCAGATGCGGCAGTGAAAATGAGGAGGCAGGCGGCCCATGATGGCACGCGGCGCCCGGAGCCTGGTTCGCTGTCAGAGGCGGCGGCGTTG